GGGGGTCAAAAAAAAGCTCTCCCCTTTTGCATTGCCAAATTCCCCGCTGGATTGCTTGAACAAACGATCAATTTTCAGGGTCCCGGAGTTTCACGTGCAAGTCTTTGAATCTCAGGACACCTGTTCGCGCGGAGGAGGAGGAAGAAGCTACTGGTAGAAGCAAAAGAAGAACGAAAGGAAGAAAGAGCGCAAGGGAGCAGTGGCCAACGTACGCCCTACCCGATTGGCCTGCGAAAGAATTCGGAGCAGCCCTGCAGTGGGATCGCTGAAGCATGCGGCACGGCACTGGCGCATGGCCATCGCTTCAGGTTCAGGAGCAGATCCGCCATTGGCCTGCGGCTGAGATCAATGAAGCTATTGCCTAAAGTTGTCGCGGCGAACGTGTTTATGAAACTTGCAGGCCGATTCTGCTCGAGTGCCAAAGGCCTATAGGCACTCTCCAGTCACTTGCATGAAGCTTGTGCCAAGCGCAGGCAAAGGCTCTCGCTTTGCCCGCCTTATCTGCAAGGTCGAAGTTCTATATCTCATGGTGTTCTCAAGGCTTTCTCGGCATCCTGGCAGGTGAGGCACCCTTCATGCTGAAGGCAGAGGGTCCTCCTCGACCGACGAGTGCTTATGCACCCGAAACGGCGCTGGAAAGCCGAGTCTGATCGAGTTTGGGGAAGTGTATAACCAATCTGTGAGTGAATGGACCTCGAAGCCCCTATGTGTCCTTTTTCAGACTTGAGCTGAGATTTAAGATGCTCTGGCTTGGTGCAAACCGCCACCAGAGCCTTCTGTACAAAAATGCGAGCTCTCTCGCTTTACAGCCGGTTGTGGCCGCTTGGCCACATCTCTGTGGGAGAAGGCCCTGGCCCCTGCCAAAAACTGGCATCTGGGCTCGGATCCCAGGCCCCTCTCGAGACCCTTGCAAGGCGGCTCTTAAGTGGACCAAGCAGAGGGAGGGAGGTGTAGACTTACTTTCCGAACACTCCAAGCCTCGCCCCGACTCCCCATCGACAGTTTTTCGCTGCTTGCCCTGCTGGCTCAAATTTCGGAGACGGACCCTGGAGAGACCGTGTTCCAGAGGCCACGCAGGGAACGGTTCTCTGGAGTTTCATGCATCTCTGTCAAAATGTCTTGAAGACGTCGAGGTCAATCCGTTGGTCGCCCTCTGTCTTGCTGTCTGCATGCGCACTGTTTCCTCTTGTGCGCGGCGACGCGAACTCTGGAAGGCTCCTGGCGATGCTTTCGGTCGCGAACTATTTGAAGCATCTCTTCTGCAAAGACACTCGAGGTTCGAAGGCACGGTCGCAGAGTCCCTCTTCCAAGGAAGCCTCGGCGCGGTGAGCCACCACCCAGCGATGTAGGGCCAGGGTCCGCAACCGAAACAGGTTCGGGGATTGTGCCGGAGCCTCAGAGGTTTCCGTGACGAACTTCACAGAAGAGCTGTGCCTCTGCAGGCAGTGCTTGAGAGTGAAGGGCTTTTGCGTCATTAACCATGCTGTCTCGGAAAAGTGCCGCCTGCCTGTTTGAGTTACTACCCTTTCATCAGCACACAGCCAAGCTGCATCGCCAGGATGGTCGCAAGCGCATCCGCCGAACTAGAAGCCCAAGAATGGTACCAGCCGGCAGTCCTGATTCAGGTGAACCGGGCAGCCTTTTGCTTTTCACAGTGACAGCTTTGAGAACCTCCCCGCTCTGCCAGGAAGGCTTGCTCGGCGTTGAGGGTTCAAATCGAATTGCCAAAATGGCATCAATCGACTTTCCTGAAAGCAGCGAGCAGTTTCAGGCCAGACACCATCTGTGCCTTTGCCACCGTGCGTGAGATGCCCACTTGGTTTGGCACAGGATGGCCTCGCAGGCATAGATTTTGCAATGTGGAAGCTTGCGGAGGCTCCGGCAGTAAGTCAGAAAGAATCTGCAAGTCTCTCGACGTGACAGCCCAGGCCATCGGCCCTTTCCAGGACCGCGATCGGCCCACCCGGCCCACCCCAGCGCCTGTGATAGGGGCACTTTCTGTCATCAAGGGGATGCACGCCATCAGTGCCTTTCCAGGACGAGATCGGCTTCCGATGTTGCGGTCGGAGTGTGGGGTTCCTTCACCAGGCCCGGAACTCCCGGGCCCCGCGGTCTTCACAGTTCTGTGGAGTCTCTTCCTGCTGGGCGGCAGCAGGCGAGCGACCCCGACTTAGAAGAGGCAGAGCTCACCGACCAAGAAGCCAGCGACTGGCCCCGGCCCTGAGTTGCACGTCCCACAATTGGTGCATTCGCTTGGCGCACTGCCTGCCTCTGAGGAGCGCCATCTTCACAAGCAGAAAGATTCTGATTATGGTCTGTTTAGGCGGCTCAGCAGCTAGGTTGAGTCGTACAGCTGTATCATCTGGAGCGCGAAGGTCCTGGCAAAGGGACCCTAGAAATGCAGCCCTACGATGACGAGCACTTGCCTCACTTGCGATTTTTTTTTATAGACCGGACTAAATCCCTACTGGGAACGGCCCGTTTTGGTGGGGCAGGGCGAATGTCTCAGAGATCACCACAGTGCCCGGCCTTGTGGTCGCGGCCCTAAGACGCTGCACTCCAGAGCAGAACACAAAAGACCTAATAAGTGCAGGTCGTGCTCCGCACGGACCAGCTTTCCTTCAAGTTCTTCTGCAGAGGACGAGAGGCTTGCAGCACTTCGAAACTTACAAGAGTTGCATCAGCTTTTCGTGCACGAGGCCACGCATGTGGCCACCTCCTTCATGCTGCAGAACGACATTTTGCGAATGCACAGAAACAAGTCCGGCCTGCACGGTTTTTGCCTAGCGACGAATCAGCGTTGCGTTCTGAGATGTGCCAGGCTGGAGGCGCACCTGACTCCACCCGCCCAAGAACTGGACCAATGGATCGACCAGCGCCTGCGGGCGACTCTGGCGCTTTGAGCCGCGAGAGCCGGAAGAGTCCCGGAAGAGCTGCGGCTGAGCCTGACAAGTGGAATGCTCTCTCGCTGCTCTGTCCTTGCCAGGAGATCAAGGAGATGGAGCCCGAGGAGCCGACAGAGGATTGGACCGCCAAGGGAGACGTCCCCAGGACGGCGTGGACTCGAAAGACAGGAGAAGGGAAGAGAGTTTGTCCTTGCAGGAACTTTATCCATGCCGCGAATCGGACTTGGTTCAAGCGCCAGACCACGGTCTGCAAGGGTGCAGCTGCCAGGCGCCGGGCATTTCAAGTCCACGACTAGGAGACTCCGTCGTCTTCGTTGCAGGTTACCAGTAACTTGGGAGCCGGAGGTGTTCTTCCTGGGCTTGACAGCAGGCTCCACATGTGATTCTACATGGTCGCGGGAGCGCGCGGCTCTGGCATCAGGTGCTGACACAGTGATCGAAGTTCCCATCATGCGATGGGAGCATGATACTGTGCACCTGCCTCAGTCTGCACTGTTCGCTGTTGTTCTGCCGGAGGCTGGTTTTCCTCTCAGACATGCTCTAAGAATGCTGTCGAGGTACGACCCTTCCCCCGATGCGTGGAAGAAGGATCCGCCCATGACGAATTGCAGGTTCCCCTCGCACTTGCAGCACTAACTAGTACGGCCTGTGTCTGGTGTGCGCTGCTTGTCATGTGTTAGGCACGCTTCCTTCGTTGACGGCGTTGATCTTTTTGACAACAAGCTCTTTGGCTTGTCCCTGGCGGAGACCAAGGGACAGGAACCCAGAGATGCAGGGACCCAGGGACCCAGGCTGCCGACCCCCTTAGCCAAGGCATGGACCCTGGCCAACGCCTTGTGCTGGAAGTCACCTACGATGCACTCTACAGGAGCCTACATAACGATCTGGCTGGTAAGATGTTGTCTGTCGGTCTGCCGGTCCTTGTCAAGGAGTGGCATGCGGAAGAACACACTGATCAACTCCACGTGTGGTATGTATGTCAGGGGCACAGCTGCAAGCCAACAGAAGCAGGGCTTTGTGTTGCGAGGGCGGCTCGTGGGTTCTGTGAGACGCAGGTTGGAACTTCCATGAGCGAATGGAACTCGGCGGAAAAGGCCGCAGATGCCGCTCACCCAGTGCCCGCTGAGAAGACGCAAGTAGGCCGCAAGCGAAATCATCGATTTCAACGGGCTTTTGTCTCACATTGTCTTGAGGTTGGTATCTTTGGTGCTACGGGAGGAGCTCCCAGTATCACTGCTGGTCGCTGGGAGCCCGGTGGAACATGGGGAGGTGCACATGGTCGCAGAGTCTCAGCTCGTGGCTCCAGGTCTGAGCTTTTGCCTTGGATGCAAAGGGGCCAGTTTAGCCATCGACACGGAGGCAGAACTGCAAAGAGAGCTCACCTCACTCTTCTGCGCATGACATATCGGATTGTGCAGAGGCCGCCTCCGGGCTGTCCGCTACCTTTTGGGCTGCCGAAGCCGTTGAGAAGAAGGGCGCTGGTCATATCCAGGCCGGCGCATGACGGCCGAAACGAAGTGATGTTGCCGGCCTTCCCGTTGCAGGAGCTCGCCTGCGGTATCGGTGTGCACCTTTGCCTGGCAAAGGCCTGCATGGGACGATATGGGATGATCATATCTGGAGCCTCTTTCGACGTCAGGCATGGTGGCCTGCCCACACTGCGGCCGGCTTCCTTTGCCCAGGGGGGCGGTCCTTCACCTTCGACGCAAGCGCACAGGGCCATGTCAGGCGACACACTGCCCTTGCGGTATGCCAACCAGTATCATCGGTAAGCATGCTTGGGCCGTCGAAACCGTGCTACCTTTGGCGGTGCAGGTCGGAAGGCGTTGGCACCGTCGTGCTTCGATGTCAAGAGAAGATGGACGGCCAGGAGGCGCCCATCGAAGCTTCAGAACATAAGCAGAAGACTTTGTCGCCAGTTCGGCTACTAGTAGGGAGTCTGGCGAGCCGTGAGGGACCATGGTGGGGTCTCTGACGCATGTGCCGTGCCAGGAGAAAGATGACCAGTCGGTTGGTACCATTGTGGGTGGTGCCACCCAGAACAGTGGCAAAAGCGCCGGAATGCCTTGGTCCAAGCTCCATTCGTGTAGAATAGGACTAGGAGGAGACAAGACTTTGGAGCTGAAGGACTGCCCCTTCCGGTCCTGCAGAGCAGGCTGTGCTGGTGGAGGTGCCTCTTTTGCCCCAGCGCTTCAGGCGTGCCCTGGCCCTTGGCTTGATGCATCAAGCCGAAGGCCTGCAGAAAGTCGGGCATCACCACGTTGGACGTGGATGTTGTCGAGTGCCACGGATCGGGCCGCTTCATTGCCGATGCGATCGAGGTCCCACAAAGAGAAGGGACAGAAAAAGCGAAGCTCCAGCACCGAGCGCGGGGGACGAATTTGGGGCCGTCTCTCAGGCTGCCTCCTGCGGCCGAGCCTTGAGAGACGGTGCCGACTCGAACGAGGAGGAGATGCGCGGACCTCTGCAGGGGGAACGTCTGAAAGCGCGAGCTTTGTGTGTCCAAGATCGCTGACTTGATGGCTCTGTTCTCTGGCTAAAAGCGGGTAGGCGTTGCAACTAGGTGAGCACGAAAGACTCAGTCTTGCCATCTCCTACAGAATGAACAAAAGCGCATTCAAGATCAGCTTCAGGCTTTGAAAGATTTTAGTGGAGGTCGCAGCTCCAAGTCTCGCGATGGCATGCGCTCGCAATGCATCATGGCCTGCGAGCTTTCGCGCGCCATGCTGCAAGGGCAGGTTCGCATCTGAAAGCATGTTCAGTGCTGCATCGTGAGGGCAGCTACTGTACTGGCTTTGGGGGGGTTTGTTGTGACTTGGCACAAGGCCTGGCGGGCTCGCTGACCGTGCAGGTGCCCGGGTGGACAGATGTCTCAAGGTTCAAGGGTCAAGACTTTTCGTTGATGCTCCATACACCGTCCACGTTTCGAGGACTCAGAGAGAGCGAGAGAGAGAGAGAGAGAGAGAGAGCGAGAGAGAGACAGAGAGAGTGCGGAGCCTTGCCGTGCTCTTGACTGTGTGGAAGAAGACAGAGAGAGAGAGAGAGAGAGAGATATCTTGCAAGCAAGCAAGCAAGAGATATATCTTTGAGACGAGAGAAGGCCCAGCAGCATCGCCGCGAGCCGACTCACTGCTGTTGCTTGCCGCGAGCTTTCTCCCGGCAGCTTCTCGTCTTGTTCCTGTCGGGGAGGTGAAAGCTCAGCTGCGCTTTGTCGCTTTGCACAGGCAGCTGGGCTGGGCTGGACAGCGATCCAGAAGGTCCAGGGCCTGCGCCGGTGACAGCCCCCTGCCGGAGGCTTTAGCAACAGCTTTCTGATTTTTTGCGGACGGCCGACGCGGATGCAAGCTTAGCAATAGGCTGGTTTCGCCGCCTCTTCTCGTGCTGTTGCACGTGTGCGTGAGTGAGTCAGCTGGGGACGGAAGGGGGGCAGCAGGCATTTTGCTGCTCGTCTGGCATGTGCATGCAGCCTTCAGCAGCCACGCATTATTTCCTCCGCAAAAACACATGCTTTTGGGATTTTTTCTTCAAGACAAGTGGGGGCGTGCATGAGTCGGCTGGGCGATAAAGCCAATATTAGGCTTGTTATGCACCGCCCGGCCCTCGGCCGATCCCCAAGACGCACTGCTGGAGGGAAGCATGAGGGGGACAAACCAGAGAGAGAGAGAGAGAGAGAGAGCTCTTTTTGCTTCAATGCGGCTGCATGCGAGCACGTCGCGTTCCGCACCGCAGCTCCCTCAGAGTAGGTATCCGTACCGGACAGGCCACACACTTGCCGGCGCGTGAAGGAGCCTGGACCCAGAGGGAGGGTTATTGAAGGTTCGCCCTCTTTCAGGCCTGTATGCAGAAGATGGCAAGATGCCAACCCCGGTGACCATGAAGTTCTTTACTCAACCTAAGCAGGCTACTCGTCCGGAGTTTTGGTGGGAGCTCCCTTCCATCCTCTACGTCTTGACTTGATTGATCGTGTGTTGAAAAGGCCGCCGGTAGCTCCTGTGAGTCGTGGGTTTGAGGGCTTCATGAAATAGTATCAGTGTGCCCTTCTAGAATCTAGAAGCAGTGTTCGTGTCGTCATGCCTTCATGTTCAAACGAGACTGCTGGAAATTTTTCACCCGCAAACGCTCCACATTTTCTCTTCAAAACGAAGTGACACAGACCAGATTCTGAAGGATCAAGTGAATCAATGAGCAAACCTCCCTGTGCATCAAAGTTAATCATTGTCACTGCTATTTGTCACGGTGCTAGTAACTAGTATGCGCAGAAAGCACTCCATCCTGCAACAACATGGCATTGGGCATTGCTTGTGCTGTCAAGGAGAGCTGGTGCGAATCGCAACTTTGATCAACAAGCTTGTGGACATGGACGGCTGGGACGAAGACCAAGAGCAGGAACTCTTTGAGCTCTCGGTGTCTGCTTGCCTGGAAGTGATCTGCAAAGGTTTGGCACCGCCGCATTACGACATGCTCCACACGCCAAGAGGCCCCTCGGTCAGGTCCTGACCTCCGCCCGTAGGAGGTTTCCGGGTTGTTAAATGCATAGAGCCAGCAGAGACGCAGAGCCGACGCAGAGCTGAGGGCTGCTCGGCGAGAAGTCCGTGGCCCTCTTGACGGCGAACTTGGTGCAGCAGTGCCAGCGGGAGTGCACTTTCCCGTACATGGACGAGCAGGACAAGATGAGGACGATTCGTGCTGTCGTCTGGGTCATCGTGGGGTCTTTACAGCCTGGCCGGACACTCCGCTCCTACACCAAGGAGCTCTGTCGGGATGAGGAGTCTACCCAGTCTGTGGTGGTGGAGGTTTTCATCGAGGGGGCAATGGATGTTTTTTTCGACAGTGAGATGCGCCACGCTTTGATTCAGGACCTCAAGTCACATATCCCCGACCTCCCGCTGGTGCCGTTTCTCTTCGAGAACATCGCTGAATTTCTTATGAAAACGTTCAGCGACACATTACATGAAACACTCAAAGATGCATACTTTGTTTTCGTCGATGCTCGGAAGAATCGTGAAGACCTTCCAGTCCTCCCGGCGGTTCTTTCTGGCGATCTGCAATTGCAAGAGAGCCTTCTGATGCAATACTGCGGCCGGCCCTTCATGTTGCAGCTTCGACGTCTTCTCATCGATCGTTTGCTGGAGGACAACTCCAACAGCCTTCCTATGTTTATATCCAAGCTGTCCTTGAGAACACAGGCCTTGGTCCTCGGTCGCTTCGTGGATCTGCTGTTCAGGGCTTTGCCGGGATTGGCCAAAATCGAGGATACCGTCCAGCCATTCCACCGCTACATGCATGACTCCTCACGTGGCCTGCATCTCCCGACGCCGGCACATTCTGCTCCGATTCATGTAGACATGGTGCCTTTGGATGACCTCAGTACTGCTTGGCACAAGCAGTTGAGGGAGTCACTTGGACGATGGCGAGACGCTTGTCGGCAACTGCAGGGCACAATTTACGTCCGCGTCATCTTTTCTTGCTGTTCCATTGCAGTCATTGTCGCTCAGGATGCGTTTGCGCGGACGCGCCGGCCCGAGGAGTTCTGCCCGACGCTCAACAGAGAACGGCTCTTGGTCGGAAGCGATGGTCCTGTCGGAAGCGGGTTGGCGCGCAGCCAGAGCTTCGAGAGCGCGGATGAAAGCCCGGGATCGAGCTCCACACCTAGGTCCAGCGACGCATACTTCGAGCGATACGAAGCCGAGCTTGAAGAGCTCCGACAGGAGGATCTCCCTTTCAAGACTTTTCAGGCGAGCCCCAACAATTTGGAGCGCTCACCGAGCAAAAATTCAATGCAGCTGTAGAAGCATTTTGAAGTAGACGAAGCCGTCGCAGTCTTGGCTGGGCCTCCTTTAGGGAGCAGCTTCTGGATATTGTTAAGAATTGTACAGGGAGGAAATACGTGTCCGGAACCCATTACACGGAGAGCAGTCCGGATAGTCCGGTGGCCGGGCTGCCGCAGCAAGTTAGCAAAATTTCGCTGTATGGGGATGACCATCCATGGTCTTGCACAGTTGGTCATGCAGCTGTTCTTGAGGGGCCGTGTTGCGCAACCAGGTTGCAGCTGTGCAGCATGAAGACCAATGTCGGCAACTGCATTGAGACTTCTGGCATCGCAAGCTTGATCAAGACATTCCACAGCATCAGGCACGGTAGCTCCAGGCCTCATTCGTGGACTGGTGCAGCTGTGTTGCCAGGTGGGGCATTGTGTGTGCAAACAACCACCTCAACCAGCTCAACCCACACTTGGACATTTCAAGCTGCCCGTGCTGCCGGCATGTGAGCGCTTTGCCGGAGTTCATGATACTCAGATAGTCCTCTTTTCGTAGCCTTGTAGTCGCCTTGCGGTTGCTCCAGGCTCCTGATGTGTACCGAGCCCACGGAGCAGAAGCTCAGCGCTGTCTTTGTGGGCGTTTCCTCCTGGGGTTTCGGAGGAACCAACGCGCAAGACCAAGCTACCAAGCCCAGGGCCCCTCAATAAGGTTTTAAGTTTTCTGCTTCAACTATGAAGCGCAAACCTGCCAAGGTCCACATGCACTGCTACGGAGGCGTGGACGAGGCACTCCTGGGTTCTGCAGGGTCGGGAAGTTTCAGTCTCACACTCGAGCTGTCCCCAGGAGATCCGCCTTCCGCCAGAGCCAACCCCACAGGAGCTGAGACCAAGGCAGGTGCCTCATGCCCAGCCTGTTGTGGTACCGAAGCCTGACAAGCTTGTGTGATTTGGAACTGGAGCCGCAGGATTTCCCTAGAGATGCAACTCGCAAAATGATGTCAAATGGTGGGGTAGGTATCTTTTGGCGAATTCTTGGCGTCTAAGTTAATTGCAGTCTGGTACACAGAGGGCAAGAATTCGATGCATTGAAAAATGCTCGCACCAATTCATATATGTGACCAAGGAGACGTTGCTGTTGCTTTTGCTGTTGTTGTCGTTGTACATGTCATTCTGGCAGATGCAGCAGAATCTGGAGGCAAACGCAAGAGATGCTGTACGGTAAAGAGATGCTGCAAGAGTAGGACATTTGGAGAAATAGCCTAGTCAACGGGCAAGCTTCCTCCTCAACAGCTTCATTACCACCATGACCACCGTTGTTGTCATGAACATGGCAAACACCGCCTTGCCCGAAAGATGCGAGGCTGTCTTACTGGCCGAGTGGCGGTGGTGACCTGGGAAGCATGAGCCGGCCGCGCAGGCGCCTTAACTTACGTCCACAGGCCCCCTATGATGTCAAAAACACGCGCTCTTTACTTTCACCTGGATACAGCTCATAGCTTTAAAGTCTTCGATGTGAGGAGAGCAAATGAGAGCAAACATAGTGCAAACATGCTGGCGCCTGGTCTTGCAACGGTGGTGGCAGTCATTCCAACTAGCACACAAATAACAGGGGCAAAACAACCACAATTGTCAGAAAGTCAGCACGAATTCTGAGGTAGTTCCAATGAGCACAACATGTATTGCAAGCTCATCTAGGAGTAGCATATCATTACTGGAAACTGATGGACGATTGCAGCAAGCAGCTCAAATACTGGCCAGTCCGAACTTCATGTCATGCAAAGATCGATCAAGAGTCACAGATGGGTCAAAGGGGTGTCACAAACCCAATACAGACGTCAGCTACTTAAGCATGACTATGTTGTACGCGAAAGAATAAAGTCAGGTATAGGTAAGTAGTTGTTGATTCTATGCCTAACAACTTTCGGCGTTTGACTACACATCGGTCCTCGACTGATCGAATCTTGATGTCTTTCAACTAACAACCAATCAAGAATTGGCTAACAGCTAGGTACAGTAAGCATGAACTCCTGCTCGTCGAACTCAGTTTGGCGCATAGTTATGCAACTGCAAGTAGTTAATTAATGACTGGTTATGTGTACATCAAAGTAATGGTTCGGGCAGAATTAAATGATCACCAGAACACAAAGAGCGAAGACTTGGTGAACGATAAGTGTTCGTTATTTGCACATAACCAACAGAAAGTTAAACCATCACATCTTCAGCAGCGCACAGCCAATAGATGAACACTGAACAATAAGCTAGCAGTCGATGAATGCATAATAGCAGTTGAGCGGTATCTATTGGGAAACCAGGCATTAGTGAGATCTTTGAGGACTACTCCGTTTCTCAAAAAGAGCTTCAACACAGCATGCCTAGTACTAGTACTAGTACTACTACTACTACTACTACTACTACTACTACTACTCCTGCTGCTGCTGCTGCTGCTACTACTACGACTACTACGAC